TGGTCAAATGGATGCATGAATCTTAGAAAACTTCCTGGGAGACTTCAAAAGAGACTTTACTGTTTTTCTCTGGATAAAAGCTTTCCAAATCAGACTTTTCAAATCCCTGATTGAATTCCCAGCAAGCTACTTTTCCTGACTATAACCAGAAAAGCATGTTTAAATGAACATGAAATTCCATCAGTATAAAGCCTTGTGCAGTCCCTTCGCCAAAGCCTCTAATAACGCCTTATTGTGTTTCTGTGGTGTTCTAGGTTATTATTACCAAGTCTTTGCTCCTGGTTGAGAAAACATGACGTTCCATTAAATGTATAATCTGGGTTCCCTTCAGGCCAGAGAGACATCTTACTTGTATAGCTGAAATGATGTGAGAGTTAATGTAATGGAAAAGGGAACCAGTCCCAAGAGGAAAGGGAGTTGTGGGGTAGGGAGAAGAATGGTGGACTTGGTCCAGGGAGACCCACTGGTCTCCATCTGTAGATTGTGTCTACCAGCCAAAGGATCCCAGAAGCTCAAGGAAAGGTCAAGTCAGCATTCTTTCCTTCCCATTCTGCTGTGGCTGGGTGCTGGACAGCAAAGTCTAAGGAGGTTCTTTCTAGGACATGGTCTTCTACCATGTCTTTAGGTATTGCCATGGGGCCTGCTTTTTATGGCTACCTATTTGCCCTGCTTCCAGTTCCAGATTTTAAAAAAAAATTGTATCTATTCGCTCGACTGAAGGTAGCAAGCTGGATGAACGCACATGATCATACCAAGTTCTAACAAGTTCATTATTCACCATGAAAATATCCCTATCGTCAGGCACTGGGGCAACTGTGCACGCATGCACATGTGTGTCTCATGTGCCTCTGAAGTCTGCTCAACATATTCCTGATGAGCGTCAAAAGATCCATAGTACATTTAGAAATTTAAACAGCAAAGAAGCCACTTCCTTTGTGGTAGAGAGGGGCTGGAAGCTCAGCACAATGATTGTAAAGGCAATTGACTCAAAATACCTTTTATTTCTTTTGTGGGACTTTTGGTCTTGGGACTTGAATTCAGGGCCTGGGTACTGTCTCTGAGCTTCTTTGTTCAAGGCTAGTGTACTATCACTTGGGTCACAGCTCCACTTCTGGCTTTTTGCTGGTTAAGTGGAACCCAGAGTCTCATGAGCTTTGCTGCCCAGTCTGGCTTTGAACCACAATCCTCAGATCTCAGCCTAAAGAGTAGCTAGGCTTACAGGCATGAGTCACTGGCACCCAGCCTCAAAACAACTTTTAAAATATGAAATTGTTATGTGTTTGTTATAGAAAAGTTTATTCAGAGAAACATAAAATTATAATTTAAAAATCTCTGGCAGAGGTAAGTAGCTCAAAATTGTAATTAACTACTTAGGAGGCTGAAATCTGAAGATCCAGGTTTGAAGCCAGCCAAGGCAGGAAAGTCCATGAGATTCTTTTTTTTTTTTTTTGGGTCCGGTTGTGGGGCCTGAACTCTGGGCCTGGGCGCTGTCCCTCAGCTCTTCAGCTCAAAGCTAGCGCTCTACCACTATGAGCCACAGCGCCACTTCCAGCTTTTTTTTTTCTTTTTTCTTATGTGGTGTTGAGGAATCGAACCCAGGGCCTCATGCATGCAAGGCCCGCACTCTACCACTGAGCCACCTTCCCAGCCCAGTCCATGAGATTCTTATCTCCAATTAACCAGCAGTAAACAAGAAGTGGAGCTGTGGCTCAAGTGTTAGAGTGTTAGCCTTGATCAAAAATACTCAGGGAGGGTGCCCAGACTCTGGGTTCAAGCCCCAGGACTGGTGAAAACAACAACAACAAACTCCTACAAATAATATTGTTATCATATCTGATCATTTTAGTTATATACGTGTGTGTGTATGTGTGTGTGTGTGTGTGTGTGTGTGTGTTTAATTTTTTTTTTGACAGAGTATTGCTACGTAGTCCAGGTTGGCTTCAAACTCACAGTTCTCCTGCCTCAGTCTCCTGAGGCAGCTTCCTGAACTGGGTTAAAACCTCTGAATTTTTAAAATAAAGATATTATCATAGCATACATAATGACAGTTTTGTTTTCACTTAGGAGTATATTACAAGAATTACTTGTTTCTATAAAAGTATCAACATGTGTAATATATACACACATAATATACTGCATTGTCATGTCTTTCTTAATCTGTATCAGGCCAATTAGGTAATTTTTACCTTTTCATTATTATGAACACCAGTGTTTTGAGGTACTTCTGCATGACTATTTGGGCTTTTTTTCTCTGAGATATGGCATTGTTGGATGGAAATGAGACCTTTCACTGTTTCAAAACCATGTGATACACACTGCCAAATTGTCTTGTTGGCACTATTCATAAAGCAGGCACGTGTGGCTATTTCAATTTTGATTAACTTAGATAAACTGAAAGGTTTATTTCCTCCACAGCATTTAAACCATTTCAAGCTCTCACTAGTTATATAGTGGCTACAATATTAGACAGCATAATTACAGAATATCTTTATCATCCCAGAGAGTTCTCTTAGACAGTGCAATTCTACAAAGACTGTACCAAATTTATATTTTCTGTAGGAAGGAACAACAGTGCTCACCTTCTGCAAGGTGGCCAATCAACAATATCATCATATCAGTTAGATTTGGTTAGATTTTTTTTTTATTTCTCTGAATGCAACTGAAATTTAACATCTTGCTAATTTATTGTCTTTCATATACATGTTTCTTTTGTGAATTATGCAGGAAGGCTCTTTTCACGGTGCTGAGTTTTGAAACCACTTCAGTCTTTACAGGGTAATTTATGTTGCCTAACTTTTTGTAACTATCCTTTATTTATAGAATTTTTTTCACCTATAGATGAGGATAATTTTACTATATTCAAAAATGTTTTATTCTCCTTTAGTGTTTCTTAATTGCTGTCATGCAAGCTCTAAACCTGAGATGACAGAATTCTCACTAAAATGACCTTATAATTCTTTGATTGTTCCTTTTAAAATGTTTAAAATTTCAGTTCTTCTGGGAATCTATTTTGGTGTGGGGTATAAAGTAGAAACTGATCTTTTTTTCTTTCCCCCTGTTACAAACCATTTGTGCAAAAACCATTTTAAAAAATAATCAATTCATGCCCAGTACTGGGAAATCATGCCTGTAATCCTAGCTCCTCGGAAGTCTGAGATCTAAAGATTGTGGTTCAAAATCAGCCCAGATAGAAAAGTCCACGAGACTCTAAATTCCAATTAACTAGCAAAACACTAGAAGTAGAGGTGCGGCTCTAGTGCTAGAGTACCAGCCTTGAGCAAAAAAGCTAATCAAGAGTGCAAGGCCCTGAGTTCAAGTAATAGCACACCCACCCCCCACACCCCTACACCCCCACACTCCTCCCCATATAATTCCTGTCCTCCTGATTTTAAATTCCAGCAAATGATTACATGTGCTTGTCTAACATTTCCTTGTCTATCCACCTATTCTTTGGATTTTACCATGCAGCTTTTGTTTAGAAAGTATGCTTCATTATTCTTTTCCAACCATGTTTTCCATCTAACACCAGCCTAGATTCATTTTGCTAATTCTTCCCAGCTTCCCCAAATGTTCTTGCAGAATTTGGGCTGCCAGATTTAATTCAACTTGGAAATGAATTTGGGGAGAATTGATGATCTCTACAGTGTGGAGTCATGTCCCTCTTTTAATGGTGGTTGTGTCCCTTTCCCCAAACTTCCCTTTGTGTTCCTGTAAACTCACTGTTGAAACAACACAAACTAACGAAACTCTGTGATTTTAGACCCCCCATCCCGAGTCTGGGAGCAAGTCCTCTTACTCACTAGAAGCAACCAAAGAATTTCCATTTCTTAGCATGAGATTATATTTTCACTATCCACCTTCTCATAAATCTGCAAGAAGAGATCTCGCGTTTCATCCAAGGAATCTCGAGTCCAAAACAGCATTTACGGAAAAACCGAACTCCAGGAGCAACTGCAGAGCACATTTGGTGTCTAGTGGCCAGCTTATTTTGCAGGACTCTTTTTTCCAACTCCCAAATACTTTCCAGCCTGTGAAACTCATCTCCTCACCACCGTAAACTGCAAGAACCTCTCCCCCTTGGCACCGAGGGCCGCTGGCACCGTTATAACAAGCAGGGATCTTCTCTAAGGGGCTTTTAAAATTGTATTCTAAATTTAAAAAGTTGCAGTAGCTGATTTTCAGCAGATAACTGGGGAGTGTTTAATTGGTTCCGAGTTCAGCTCTCTTCTGAGCAAAATCCTGAAGTCTAGCTGCCAGGGCGTTGAGCTAAGAAACCCAGGGCTCCTGCAACCCCTTGGTAGCCTACCAGACATCAGGCCTGAATTCCCTTACACCTGGGATCTCCAGTGCAGGAAGAGGGAGAATTTACTCTCTGGGAACATTCAGCAAACAATGCCTGGAGACATTTTGGCTTGAGGTGACTGGCACCGAGTAGGTCAAGGCCAAGGATGCTCTGAAACATCCAGAAACGAACTGCCGGGGACGGCTCCACACCGTGATCAAGCTGAGATCTCAAGAGTGGGCCAAGGCAGGGAACTCTTGCCTTCTATTTTCCCTCTTCACGCTGGGGCAAGGTATTCTTAAGATCATAGAGGGGGCCTTCTGGGCGCCAGCCTTTTCCAAAAGAGACCTCCGGCTTTGAGATGCCCACCACGCCTCTTACTTTTAGAAGAGCAAGCGTCTAAGTCCTCAAGACACACACACACACACACACACACACACACACACACACACACACACACACACACACGATCCACAGCATCCTCTGGCAGGCAACCGATCACAGACGGTAAGCCAGGCAGCGAGGTCTGTGTCTCCCCCAAAACAAACCCGGGGGTCGCCTCCCCGGGTGGGAGGAGCGGCTCCCCCAACAAAGGCACGCGGCGCCCCCCGTGGTCCCCACCGTGGGTCGCTCGGGGGGGGGGCGCGCCCGGGCGGCCGGGGCGCAGCGCGCGGCATCTTCGCCGGCTTCTCTAGCCCAGGGGACTCACAGCACTTACTTGTCCAGGATGAAGTACAGGTCGAATCCCCCGTAGCAGGCGGGTCCCCCGTCCTCCCTGCGCCCCCCGTGCCCCGCACAGAGGAGCACCAGGGCAGCCAGGGACAGGCACTGGAGACCCACGCCCAGGGCCTTCCGCTGCGCGGTGGCCATGCCCGCGGTGCGCCGCTCGCTCTCCCGCCGGGGTCCGCTGCTGCCCACGCGCCGCGCGCTCGCCACGGCCCTTCAGGGACGCGCCATCGGGCGGGGGGCTCCCTTCCCGCGGGTCTTCTCGGTCCCCCTCTGGCTGCCCTGCAGCCGCCCGGAAGCAATTGTCTGCCGGAGTTCAAGGTTTTCCTCGGGGTTTCCGCTGCGAGGCTGTGGCTCCTGGGTTTCAGGTTTCAGGAATCCCACGGCCGTCGCTCCGCTTTCTTTAAAGGGGCTGCTGCGGGCCGGGCCCACGCCGCCGGTCCCCGGGCTGCGCCCCCGGGCTGCAGCGGCAGCAGTTCCGTCTGGACGGCTCTTTGTCCCAGATTTCAAGTCTTCTGGGGTGGGTTTTCAACTTACTCCTCGGCCGGGGCCGCGCTCGGCCCTTTCTCCCTCCCCTCTCCCCCCGCGTCGGCGTCTTCTTTTTTTAATTTAATTTTTTTTGGGGGGAAAAGAACATCTAAAGAGTGCCACCTGCTGGCCAAAGGCGGCAAAGGCGGCTTGGGGTCCGCGAGAGCGCGGCTGGATCTGGCCCTGGGGACGCCCCCCTTTCCCCCGCTCCCCCCGGCCCCCATCCAGGGTGTCAGTCTCCTTTGCCTTATCAGTTTTCAGGTCCGCCACGCACGCTGGGTCCTTCTTTGGGGGTCATGTACCTTCCCTTTCCTTTCTTTCCCATGGCCCTTTCTCCATTCTCTTTAGCTTTCCTACACTTGATTTTCCATGTCTGCCCTGCGGATAGAGACATTGTAAATATTTGATAGAACTCATTTCCTTTAAGCACAGTGGCTCCCGACTCCAGTCTGGGGCCTTTTTACAAACATCAAGTCCATTGTGCACATCAAGTAGGGAAAAACAAGGCCTTGGTCTTCTGAATCATCCAAGTGACCTTAGGTAGTCTTGAGTGCAGACCACGAAGGGGTTGTTTTCAAAGAAGCACGTGCAGCCGGCTCAGGGCCTGTGGCCTTTCTCAGGCTGGGAACAGCTGAGCCCACTAGATCGGCTCCATCTCTCTACATTTTAGGGCTTCTGTGACACAATTCTTCCTTTCAGTCCGTGAACTTTGGCTTTTATTCTGATCTTTGATGTAGGACAGAGGAAATAAACAGCTAACAAGAGTGTAAACAGTTCAAGCAGTTTGTGGCTGGCAGGGCAGTGTTGTGTTCGTCTTTCTAAACGGGCAAGTCTTCTTTAGCGTGGCCTCTGAGCTCCCCTTCCAGGTCAGACCCCCCCAGACCTCATTTCTTGTATCTTCTACTCTGGGAGTCCTCAGCACACACTCGCGCCCCAGTTCTCAGAACAACATAGCCCCTCCACTTGAGAGTCCTTCCATCCTTCCAGCTACATGTGTCTATCCATCTAAGTCAGCCTTTGTTTGGCAATAATAGACAACTAATAAATGCCTATTATTAGAGTAAAGCCTGGAGAATTTCTGTATGGGGAAAAGTATTTAAATTGTTCCAGAATTGCTTGTCTGTGAAACTGTCCTTTCCTGTCTAAGATGTCCTTTTCTTCACTTCTGTCGCCTCAAGAAATGGAAAACTCAGCCAGGCCCGGTGCCTCCCACAAGTAACCCTAGCTATTCAGGAAGCTAAGATCTGAGGAGTAAGGTTCAAATCAGCCTACACAGATAAATCCAAGAGATTTTTATCTCCAAGTAATCAGCAAAATGGTAGAAGTAGAGCTATGACTCAAGTGGTAAAGTACCAGCTTTGAGCAAAACAGCTAGGCAAGAGTATAAGAGTCTTGAGTTCAAGCCCCAGTAATGGCAATTTAAAAAGAGAGAGACAGTGAGAGAGCCAGGTGCCAGGGGCTCATACCAGTAATCATAGCTACTGGGAAGGTTGATCTGGGGCAGGAAAATCCATGAAACTCTTATATCTGATTACACACACACACACACACACACACTGGAAGTTGAGCTGTGTGGCTCAAGTGGTACAGTGCTAACCTTGAGCACAAAAGCTCAGGAACAGTACCCGGGCCTGGACTTCAAGCCCAAGGATGAGGGAGGTGGGACGGCTTATAACTTACTCTGTTTCCATTACTGCTGAATGATTAGAGAGAGACAGACAGATAGACAGAGACAAAGAGAGAGACAGAGAGAGATAGAGACAGAGAGAAAGCTTTACTGAAATGAACTGGGTAAATGAAGGCCAGAAAACCAGAGGGAGCTGGTCAAGAAAGGAAAGTAATTTGAGGACAAAGTTGTGGAGAAATGCTTGTGGGATTTACAAGGAATGGAAAGGGCTCTCATATCCTTGAAGAGAGCAGAGGCTCAGGAGGAATCAGGGAGATGTGCAGAATGTCTTCTCTCTTCCTCATACTCTCAGGGCCTTGTAGGCTGTTTAATCATTTAAATAATGGGAATTTTGTTGTTGTTGTTGGTGGTGGTGGTCATGGGGCCTGAACTCTGGGCCTGAGCGCTGTCTCTGGGGGCTTCAGCTCAAGGCTAGCACTCTACCACTGGAGCCACAGTGTCACTTCCAGCTTTTTCTGCTTATGTGGTGCTGAGGAATCGAACCCAGGGCCTCATGCATACCAGGCAAGCACTCTATCACTGAGCCACCTTCCCAGCCCTGACTGGAATTTTTATAAGAAAAGCAATTTTTATTTTTATATACTTTTATTTATTTATTTTTGTGTTTTATGTAGTACCAAGGAATCAAACCCAGGGCCTCATGCATGCTAGGCAAGCACTCGACCACTAAGTCACATTCTTTGCCCAAGAAAAGCAAATTAGAATATTCTCCTGGGATGGAACTAAGAGATGTCTTACTAAGAGCTCTTCAAAGCTAGAGATGTCATTATCAAAGATAGGCAAGGCACAGACTTCAGAGAGGGAGAATATTCCAGGTGGAATACATTTATGGGGAAGGGAGAGGGTGTAAGAGTCTCTTCTACAACAAATGTGGTTCCTTACAGGGCAGGGAGGTATTTGAGGTGATTCAGATTTTGACTGCCCCAGTGGCTTATGCCTTTTGACCAAAATTCTAGAAAGAAGACTATTGATGCAAGCTGAATGCCTCTACATCTTAACAAGACTCAAACCTTTTCAGTCTATCCCAGAGGAATCCATTCTGGTTGCCTCTTATAATTAGAGGGCTTTGTGTAGAGGAATGTGCCCTAAATATTCCCACAAAGTGAACTTGACATCGCGTTACCGGAATACAGTTGCTCACAGAAAAAAAAAAGTGAAATAAAAGAGCATCCATAGTCTTTAACACTGGTAAAGGAAGCCTCTTTTATGATCCCAGACTGGTAGTTCAGTGGGAAGGTAGAGCATTGGTGGGTGCCTTGAATTAGAAACTTAAGGCAGTGGAGAACAAGGAAACTATGAACATCCAGTCTATGAACAGGTATCTCTAAGGATGAAGATACACAAGCGAAAACAAACCACACATTTGGGAGCCAAGACAGGGAAGAGTTTTTGGAGGAGAAGTAGTTAACAAATGCCTCAAGCTGTAGAAGTCAGGAAAATAGCCCTGAGAAATGAAAACATAAATCCCGTTCAAAATGGGCTGAAACCCAATTCTGACTAATGTAGAGCCTTCCACAAAAAAGTAGTTCCTATTATATATGAGTCAATATCAACCCAGAGAAAGATCCTGTTTAATTTGATTAACAACCCAGCTCAGCTAAGGCCATGCACCATCCTAGCTCTACCTTCTAAAAAACATATCCTTTGAAGGACTTAGTCATGAAAATAATCCATGATTTATAACAGCATGTCTTAAAAGTTTCATCCCAAATTCTTAAAAGGACTCAAACCCTTGCTGTACAAACAGTTCACCTAGAGCAGAGATTAAGCCAATGAAACTCAAAACTGAGATGAAGGCTGACATAGTCCAGGGCCCTAAAAAGCCCAAAGATTACAAATGTCCAGTAAACGACTTTATTATCCCAGTGAAAACACAAAGCTAAAAAAAAGAGCAATTCAGCCAGTTCTACTCAAACTGAGCATATTTAAGACTAGTGTCTTCCTGAAAGACAACCCCCCACCAATGAAGAAGCCAGGGAAAATCTAATCCGACTTGCTAAGTCTATGACATCTTCAATTCTTTTGCTAATAGTTACCATCCAGGTTACAAGCCAGAGGGACCAGTCATTCTGAGAATGTTTCAGAGCACGTGTATATATGTAAATGTACGTGTGTGTGTGTGTGTGTGTGTGTGTGTGTGTGTGTGAAGGATGTGCAGAGGTGTACTGTGAAGGTGGAAACAATGATGCTTGCTCACTGTGGAATCACCCAATGGAGCTTTTACAAACTATAAATAGCTTCAGAGTACCAGAAATTGATACTGGAGTTTGTGGGACACATAGTTAAATACAATGTTATAGTGACTAATTTTGTCTGCCTCCCTTTGTCCTATCCTCTTTTTCCCCTGTGAGATCTATTGAAATAGGGGGAGTAATTCCCACAAACAGTTTGAGCACCAAATAGGATGACTTGCTGATGAATAGCATAATCTCCCATCTGGCTCTGAGAGAAACTGCACAGCTCTGCCAGCACTAACTGGTAGACTGTGACGATTACTTGACCTTGCCTTACCTCAACTTCTGACCTGAAAAATGGAGATGATGACTATTAACTACCTTCCTGGGTTTTTAGCAGCTCTAATGAGATAGGATATGTCAAGTATGCCCTCCTGTAGCACACAGTAGATAGATACTGGCTTTTCTTGTTACTGGCAGATTCTGGGAAAATGCATTTGAATTTCTTCTACAGATGAGACCATATTTAAAATAACCACTCGCTGAAACATTAGATTGTTCTACTACTAGTGAACCAGAGCTGTTCCTGAACTACTGATACTTCTATTACCAACTTTGAAAACTGCAAAGATGAAGTCTGCAGCTCTTCCAGGAACTACTGGGAGTTGGTGGTTTCCTAGGATACATGCAGAAAACAAAAAAACACACTTTGGTACTATCAATAAATAATCTACTGGAAACAATGCTGTTTCTGCTCGCCAAGAATGCTAGATTGTTAAACCCTAATGAAATGTCTGAGAACATTCAATATCCAGTGATTCTTTCTGTTATTGGTAACTGAGACACAGGGATCCATAGGAAAGACCCCTTATTATTCTTCCTCATTAACTTATTAACAAGTAGTTTTCAGATACTTACTTTCTAGAAGACCATGTGCTTATATGGGATATAAGCAGTGTATAAGCATTGGTACCAACTATGGTTAGCCTGTCTATTAGAGGAATCTCAGCATGTGCCATCAACCCTGCTATGCCAATTCCAAGAGAAGCAGGCCTGATGTAATAGAATGTTTGATGGGAAGGCAGGGG